AAAGACCCAACAATCTGCTGCCTCCAAGAGACTCATCTCATAGAAAAAGTCATCCAAAGACTGAAGGTGAAGGGTTGGGGACAATCATACCACTCACATGGACTGAGGAAGCAGACAGGGGTTCGCATCCTCATATCAAATAAAGTAGACTTCAAGCTAGAGTCAATCAAAAAGGATAAAGAAGGACACTACATACTGCTCAAGGGAAACATACATCAACAAGACTTAACAATTATAAATATATATGCCCCAAACAACAGAGTATATCTTCGTTCGTCAAACAAACTCTTCTCAAGTTCGAGAGTCAAATACACCACACACAATAATTCTGGGTGACTTTAACACACCTTTTTCACCACTAGATAGATCTTCCAAACAAAAGCTGAACAAAGAAACTATAGAACTCAATAACACAATCAATAACTTAGACTTAACTGACATATATAGAATATTTCACCCTTCAACAAGAGAATATACTTTCTTCTCAGCAGCACATGGTTCCTTCTCTAAAACAGACCATATACTATGCCACAAAGCAACTCTTAGAAATATAAAAAAGTAGAGATACTACCCTGTGTTCTATCAGATCATAATGGAATGAAATCAGAAATCAATGATAAAATGAGAAATAAAAGCCACTCCAACATGTGGAGACTAAATAATATGCTATTGAATGAACAATGGGTTGCAGAAGACATCAAAGAGATTAAAAACTTTTTAGAGGTGAATGAGGACACAGATACAACATATCAAAATCTCTATAAAAGCAGTTCTAAGAGGAAAGTTCATTGCATGGAGTTCAGTCCTTAAAAAAAGAAAAAGTCAACAAATAAATGACTTAACATTACATCTCAAAGCCCTACAAAAAGAAGAACAAATCAACACCAAAAGCAGTAGAAGTCAGGAAGTAATTAAATTCAGAGATGAAATCAATGAAATTGAAACAAAAGAAACAACTGAAAAAATTGACAGAACAAAAAGTTGGTTCTTTGAAATAATAAATAAAATTGACAGACCCTTAGCCATGCTAATGAAAAGAAGGAGAGAGAAAAATCAAATTACTAACATATGGGATGAAAAAGGAAATATCACAACAGACCCTACAGAAATATAGAAGAAAATTAGAAATTATTTTGAAAACTTGTACTCCAGTAAAGTAGAAAATATCAAAGGCATCAACAAATTTCTAGAGTTGTATAATTTGCCCAAATTGAATCAGGATAATATACACAATTTAAACAGATCAACTTCAAGTGACAAAATACAAGATGCCATCAAAAGTCTACCAACCAAGAAAAGCCCAGGACCTGACAGATATATAACCGAGTTCTACAAGACCTTTAAAGAAGAACTAATACCAATACTCTTCAGTTTATTTCAGAAAATAGAAAAAGAGGGAGCATTTCCAAACTCATTCTATGAGGTCAATATCACCCTGATTCCAAAACCAGGGTAAGACACATCAAAAAAAAGGAAAACTTCAGACCATATATCTAATGAACATAGATGCAAAACTTCTCAATAAAATTCTGGCAAATCAAATACTAAAAGATCATGCACCACAATCAAGTGGGATTCATCCCAGGGATGAAAGGTTGGTTAAACATATGGAAATCAATAATGTAATTCATCACATCAACAGACTTAAAGATAAGAATCATATGATCATCTTGATAGACACAGAAAAAGCATTTGACAAAACATAGCATGCCTTTATGTTCAAAACTCTATCAACATCATAAAGGCTACTGATGCTAAACCCCAGACCAACCATTCTACATAAAGAAATATTGAAGGCATTCCCTCTAAAAACTGGAACAAGACAGGGATGCCCTCGTTCACCACTTCTTTTTAACATAGTTTTTGAAACTCTGGCCAGAGCAATTCGCAGATGAAAGAAATTAAAGGGATACACATAGGAAAAGAAGAACTTAAATTGGCACTATTTGCTGATGATATGATTATACACCTAGAAGACTCTAAAAGTTCCACCAGAAACTAGTAAATGAATTCAGAAAAGTAGCAGGATAAAAAAATCATCACCCATAAATCAAAGGCATTTCTGTATATCAGTGACAAATCCTTTGAAATGAGGAAAACTACCCCATTTTCAATAGCCTCAAAAAATAATAAATAAATAAAATACTTGGGAATCAACTTAACAAAAGAGGTGAAAGATCTATACAATGAAAATTACAGAACCCTAAAGAAAGAAGTCAAAGAAGTCCTTAGAAGATGAAAAGATCTACCTTGCTCTTGGATAGGCAGAATTAATATTATCAAAATGACCATACTACCAAAACCATTATACAGATTTAATGCAACTCTGATTAAAATCCCAATGGCATTCCTCAAAGAAATAGAAAAGGTGGTCATGAAATTCATCTGGAAAAATAAGAGACCCAGAATAGCTAAAGCAATCCTTAGCAGGAAAAGTGAAGCAGGTGGTATCACTATACCACACCTTATACTACAGAGCAATAGTAACAAAAATGGCATGGTTTTGGCACCAAAACAGACTGGTAGACCAATGGTACAGAATAGACTAACCCACATAATCCAATTATCTTATATTAGACAAAGGTGTCAAAAGCATGCACTGGAGAAAAGATAGCATCTTCAACAAATGGTGTGGAGACAAACTGGAAAACCATATGCAACAAAATGAAATTAAACTTCTATCTCTCACCATGCACAAAACTCAACTCAAAATGGATCAAGGACCTAGGAATTAAACCTTTGTCTAATAGAAGAAAAAGTAATCTCCATCATGTGGGATTAGGCCCCAACTTCCTTAATAAGAATCCTTTGGCGCAAGAATTAAAATCAAGAATCAATAAATGTGATGGACTCAAACTAAAAAGTTTCTTTTCAGCAAAAGAAACATTCTGTGAAGTGAATAGAGAGCCTACAGGATAGGAGCAAATCTTTACCCCTCACACATCAGATAAAGCACTAATCTCTAGGGTATATAAAGAACTCAAAAAGCTAAACACCGAAAAAACAAATAACCTAATCAATAAGTGGGCCAAGGACCTGAACAGACACTTCTCAGAAGATGATATACAATCAATCAACAAATTTATGAAAAAATGTTCATCATTGCTAGCAATTAGAGAAATGCAAATCAAAACCACTTTAAGATTTCATCTCACTCCAGTCAGAATGGCAGCTATTATGAAGACAAACAACAATAAGTATTGGCAAGGATGTGGGGGAAAAGGTACACTCATACACTGCTGGTGGGACTGAAAATTGGTGCAGCATTATGGAGATTTCTTGGAAAATTGGGAATGGAACCATCATTTGATCCAGCTATCCCTCTTTCAGTCTATACCCAAAGGACTTAAAAAGAGCATACTACAGGGACACAACCACATCAATGTTTATAGCAGCACAATTCAGAATAGCTAAACTGTGGAACTATCCTAGATACCCTTCAATAGATAAATGGATAAAAAAAAAGTGGCATATATACGCAATGGAATATTACTCAGCAATAAAAGAGAATGAAATCAAGTATATCTACTTGCAAGTAGTCAACTGTGATAACATTTAAAAATTTGCTATTTTTCATACAGTTTCTTCCTTTATTTGAGCCACACCAGAACTTTCTGGCATCTGGAGGGCTTGAGAGTTTTTATTCTGTTATTAGCTATATAACTACTACCACCTGTATAAAATTATGGTTTTCAATAAAGTATAAGACACATAAATTGATGGAGTTCGAGAAGATAATACTAAGTGAAGTTAGCCAATTCCAAAAAACCAAATGCCGAATGTTTTCTCTGATATAAAGAAGTTGATTCATAGTGGGGTAGGGAGAGGGAGCATGGGAGGAGTAGACAAAATTTAGATAGGGCAGAGGGGTGGGAGGGGAACAGGGGCGGGCATGGGGCTAGAAATGATGGTGGAAGGTGATGGACATTATTATCCAGAGTATATGTATGAAGACGTGAATTGGTGTAAATATATTTTGGCTACAACCAGATATATTAAAAACTGAGCTCTAGATGTATAATAAGAATTGAATTGGTATGAATATACTTTGTATACAACCAGATATTAAAAATTGTGCTCTATATATGTAATAAGAATTGTAATACATTCTGCTGTCATATATAAATTTAAAAAATTAATTGAAAAAAAGAATGAATAACTTGTTTTATTGGGGGGGGGGGAGCGCATAGTGGTACTAGGGATTAAACCCAGGGTCCTTCACCACTATGCTATATCCCCAGCCCTTTTTATTTTCAGACAGGGTCTCCTTAAGTTGATGAGGCTGGCTTTGAACTTGAGATCCTCTTGCCTTAGTAGCCTCAATAACTGTGATTATATGTGTGCACCACAGTGCCTAGTGAACTTACTTGTTTTTAAAAGTGTTACCAAATGTTAACTACATTTAGCTTTGAATCTCATACCAACATTTTCTTTCAGTAAACTTCCTAATTATTTGAACAGGAATATATTCATTATTAAAAATTATATTAAATTATATTAAAAATGAGCATGTACCATGATGTTATGCCCTACACTTTAAAGTAGGTTTTCTCAATCTTGGCATTACTGATATTTTGGGAAAGATAATTCTTTGTTGTTGGGGTGAATGTCCTTTGCATTACACAGTATTTAGCATCATCCTTGGTCACCACTGATAGATGCCAGTAGCACTCCAACCCTAGTCATGACAACCCTAAACATCTCCCAGATATTATCAATGTCACCCTGGTGAAGAACTAGGATAATATCTACCATAAGTACAGTAAATACCTGTAAAACTCTTGCATCTGTATATACAATTGTCATAAGCAGAACACTAACTGCAGATAACAAAAGGATCTATTTTTAAATTCTAGAAAATACAAACACGAAAACAAGAAAAAAAAATATATATATATATATTTCTGATTATTTTAAGAACATAGCATTCTCCTACTCAGCCAAACAATTCTAAAATCACTTTGCTATATAAAGTCAAATATTAAATTAAATTCATTTACCTTTAAGGCTGACATTATAGTTTGCTCAGCTACAGCAGGGAATGAGTTCTGACTGGAAACCACCTAAAATGAGGTTTTTTGATCCAGTTACAGTTTTGCTTATGTCATTTATTTTTGCAAATACTAATTTTGATCATAACAAAACAAAGCTGTTTCCACAAGCTACATTAAAATATCATCACTACTTCATAGTACTACCTCACACATGATTTTAAAACTCAATTGAAAAACGTTTTGACATACATAAAGCAAAGACACTTCAAATAATAGAAATATTAAGAATATCAGCAGCTAGTTTCCTTTGTTTGCCTTAAAAAGGTTTCATTATAAAGTTTTAACTTGAAAAGGTCAGAATAAAGCCATATTTACTTATCTCTTTTAAAATATTCACTTTCCTTTAGGCTGACTTGTGATCAAGTCTTTAAAACATAAATATAAAATATTCCATTTTTACAAATCAACACAAAATATCAATAAATACATTTAAATTAGGCTAAACAGAATAATCATTCATTTATTTGGTGTTTTAGAGAAATGAGTAAGGAAACAGAATTATACATCATTGAATGTTTTTGATAATTTTACTTTTCTGAGATTTACCTGTTAATGTTTTAAAATTATTTTGTTTAGTATGTTGAAATTCATATTCTTAGAAATGCTTAGCTGATTAGAGAATGTTAAATTTTTTAAACAAATGAATAATGTCACATGGCTATTCTAAAATATAATCTAGCATATTAAAGCTCAATTTAAGAATTTAAGATTTTTCTTTCTTTTTTTTTTTCCAGTACTGGGAGTTGAATCCAGGGCCACACTGAATCACATCTCCAGGCCTTTTAAAATTTATTTTGAGACAAGAGTCTCACCAAATTTCCAGGCTGACCTTCAACTTGTGATTCTCCTGCCTCAGCTTCTCAAGTAGTTGGCATTATAGGCAAGTGTCACCATGTCTAGTAGCAGTTCAAATTTTTAAGAACACCTAACCTTTAGCTTTCTTCAAGTCTTCTAAATATTTATCATTCTATTTACAAAGTATTTTGAAATGGTCTACAGAGAATAATTAAACACAAGCTACTCAAAAGTCATGGTTGAAGTAAAAAACACTGTTCTTCTAGTAACAAAGAATATAGTTCACTTTAATCATAATAGAGTTGGCTCTCCATACCCTTGGGTTCCACGTTCATGAAATCAATAAATCATGGATCAAAAATATTAGGGAAAAAACCCTGCATCTGTTTTGAACATGCACAGGCTTTTTATTGACACTATTCCCTAAATAATACTATACAGCTATTTCCGTAGCACTTACACTGTATTAGGCATTATGAATAATCTAGAACTGATTAACATACATAGGAAGATGTACATAGGTTATATGCAAATACTACACCATTTTATATATGGATTTGAACATCTATGGATTTTGGTATCCATGTAAGGTAGGATGGGAATTCCTGGACCCAATCTTCAATGGATATTGAGGAAGGACTGTACATGGAGGCAAACAAGGTAAAATTTAGCTGACTATTTTAAATGCTTTAGTAGAAAAATAACAGAAATTATATCTACTTGCAAGTAGTCAACTGTGATAATATTTAAAAATTTGCTATTTTTAATACAGTTCTTTCCTGGCTTTTTTGAGCCATATCAGAACTTTCTGACATGTTGGAGGGCTTGAGAGTTTTTATTCTGTTATTAGTTTTGCTATGTACTTATTACCACCTGTATCAAATTACGGTTTTCAATAAAGTATGAAACACATATGATTTGCCCTTAAATAATTTGTTCAATAAATTTGATTAACTTGATGGACTGAATTTCATGTGTTTTAAACTCACTATTAGAGATAAAATGTATGTAAATAATATAGGTCATAATCAAAGTGTTTAAAAAGAGTTAATGTCTCATTTTATTTTATAATCATGACATTTTCATTGTATTCTTTTCCAAAAAAATAAAATAATATTTTGTAAGTTGTATACATTTAGACAAGAACAGAAGAACCTGATATTAAGTCAAAATAATCAATTAAAACAAAAAAGAAAGGTTACCTTTGTTACAGATTGGTGCAACTTATACAGTGAATTCACCACTGCCACATTTCTTTTCTGACCTTCAGTAAGAGGCCCAATCACTTGACTTGCATCTCCTTGAGTACAGAGCTGTAAGAATTCAACACAAAAAGATATCAAAATTACAGTGTGTATTTTTTCTTTAACCAGGGAGAAATTTATATCCCCTTGACAAAGAGAATGCCAACCAGCAAAGAGAATGTCAACTGGAAATATTCAGGTCAAGTTAAAACTTTGGACTTAGGCACAAGAAATCTCTATAAAGATAATACCATGGACATGAAAGCACAATTAGTTTTGTGCAGAAAGAATATCTATTATAACACTTCCTGGCTGATGGGCCTCTGAGGCAGGTGTGACCCAAATTCCCAGTCTGTGTTGTCATGTTGATACATTAGCAAAGTAACCCTAAGGAATACCTTCTGGCAACTGCCAATAGGTTTTTTTTTTTTTTTCTATCTGAAAACTCAGAAATAAGGCATTAAGAAGGAAAACGAAAGGAAAAAAATAAACCTAAATCTTGAAATTTTTCCTAAACTCCAATGAAACGGTGGTAAGAAAAGATATTATGCTTATTTTTGTTGGATTTTTTTCCCCAAAGGAAGTTGTCTAAGATACATTATATGGTTCATCTTTCTGACCTTTGATTTATTTCTAATGACATGAATTTGAGGGAAAAGTGCATGAAATACCTTGAGTTAATCTGTATCTGCTATAATTGGGGTTTAAAAATCCACATATTAATCATTCTCAGATTGATTGATTTTAATCCAATCCTCTATCATGATTATTATTTAAAGGTAAATTAAACTCAATCAGGACATAGAAATGACATAACTCACTCCACAAATGTGGATGCAGATTTCAAACATATAAAAAATTGGCTTTTTAGGAGAAGTGAAACTAAGATCATCTCCCCATTATTACAGAAAACCAAATAATAAGTACTATTTCTTTCTTTCTACTTTCCTTTAAAAAATATATGTAAATTTTCTTTTAAAAAATTTATTCTAATTTGTTATATATGACAGCAGAATGCATTTCAATTCATATTACATATATATAGATAAATTTTCAAAATTAAATTCAATCTCTAGTTTTCCAAATGTAATAAAACAATTTTAAAACATTAAAATTGTGGTATATAAAAAAGGAAACAATCCTTTGTTAAAGTTGCAACACATGCTGGTGGTTATTAAGTCAATATAAAACTTTTTTTGACACCAGGTTAAATAACATTCCTCATGGACATAGTTACCAACTTGCAATCCCATTATATTTTAAAGTAGTCAATTTGTATGTTGGTGATGTGAAAAAAAAAATAAAACATTTTCCTGTAGAAAGTATGATAAAGAATAAAAGAGGGCTGGGGTTGTAGCTTAGTGGAAGAGTGCTTGCCTAGCACATGAGAGGCACTGGGTTCACTCTTCGACATACATAATAAAAAAAAAATAAGCAAATAAAATAAAAATAACAAAACAAAAAAGAATAAAGATACTCAGCAGAGTCCACAAATCTAATATAATCCATTAGTGGTAAACTAATACTAACAGAAGCTCTGAACTCCCCAAGAGAAGGCAAATAATGGGCTCTGTGCAAGGGTGAGGGTGAAGATAGGTTCCTGAACAAGGTACTCTGAAGACTAAAGTGGCAACAGTCAATGGCATCAGTTCTTACTGATGACTTTGGGGGTGGGGACCAGATAGGGAACATATATATGACTAGGTACTTAAAAGTCATGAGCTTGATGAGCACAGTGGTGCATGCCTGTAGTTCCAGCTATGGGAAGCTGAGCCAGGATTGTGTGAGCCCAGGAACTGGAGGCCAGCCTGCTCAATATAGTGAGACCCTCCAACTCAAGGAAAACAAAAGTTATAAACTTTAAAGTTCAACATCTGTTGGTTCTCTTGATATTCTCAAAACAATTTTGAAGAACTAACAAAGAAATGGAAAAAGGAAAGACATTTTCTTATTTTATTTTGATTTGTAATATATTTATAAAATAATTTTATTTGAATTTATATGTTTCACATTTAATGAGGAGACAGGCTTACTGCTAGAAAAGGGTAGTAATCATTTTATTAGTGAGAACTGATCATATATTGGGGATTTATAAAACAAAAGCTGAATTCACATCCTCTAAGATGCTATAAACAGAAGAGGAAATATCAAATGTTTGACCAGGATGCAGAAAAAATAAACCCTCATCCATTACTGGTGGCAATGTACAGAAATAGTCTAGTAGTTCCCTCAGAGTAAATACAGAGTGACCATATGACCCAGCAATTAAACTCCTAGATATATAAACAAGAGAAATAAAAAATATATGTTCACCCAAAAGCTTGCACACAAACGTTCATAGCATTGTTCATAATAACCAAAAATGGAAATAATCTAAATGTTATCTGACTGATAAAAAGCTAAATAAAATATAGACTATCCACATAACTAACATTACTTGGCAATAAAAAAGATGAAGTTCTGATGCACACTACAACACGGATGAATCTTGAAAACATTACTCTAGGAGAAAGACGCCAGTAATAAATTTATATGAAATATCCCAAATAGCCAAATCTGTAAATACAAACAGATTTGTTGTTGGAGTGAAGGTAGGAGGGGCAAGTGGATACCAGGTTTCTTGCAGGATGATGAAATGCTATGAAAGTGAATGGGAACATACTAAAAACCATTCAACTGTATACCTGAATGGGTGAGTTAAATGACATGTTAGTTAAATCTTAATAAATCTGGTTTTAACTAAAAAAAATACAAAGAAAGAATAATTCCAGACTTTCAGGTTATCTGACTGGTGCCATAAGAGCCTTGCAAAAACTAATGATGGCTAGGTTCGACAGACCCACAAAGTTATATGAATAAAATAATATAGCTATGGGAACCAATAGTGATAACATAAAAGAATTAAAAATGAAACATAACTGTGTCAAAAATAAGGTACAAAATAACCAAATTGATGCAAAAATACAAGTTTTTGAAAGAATGAAAATGTATATAATCTGCACAGGATATAATTGTCCAACATCTTAGCTAACATGATCACCCTGTGTCTCTCTCAACATCACTCCTATCAAAATTTTTTCTTGGGAAATAACCTCAAGCTTATAGGAAGTTAAAAAATAAAAAAGAATGCAAGGAACACTATGTACTCCTTATCCAGATTTACCTATTTTGTTAACATTTTAATGCGTTTGCTTTATTATTTTTATTTTCCCTCCCTCTCCCACTCATGCATATGCGTAATTTGTTTTCTGAATATTCATACATTACAGCCCTGTACCCCTAAATATTTCAGAGTATGTCTTTCCCAAGAAGAGAGACATTTTTGTATGCCTGTAATCCCAATAATTTAGAAAGCTGAGGTAAGAGGATCACAAATTCGAGTCGAACTTCAATGACTTAGTGAGACCCTGTCCCGAACTAAAAAATAAAAAAGGTAAAGTGAACTTGCGTTCAATCCGTAGTACAAAAAAGAAAATAGGGTATTTTTTTTTTTTTTTTTTTTTACAAAACTACAGTTCTGTAATCAACCTCATAAATTTACACTAATATAGTACTTTTATCTGGAATCTGCTAAGTCTTGAAGGAGTGCTGGTTCCTTTTAGAGGGAACTGATATTAAAGACCAAGACCCAGTCACTAAGTATGGTCATTGTTACTAACTCCAATAATAATTCTTAATTAATTTAATATTCAAAGAGATAGACTTCCATTTGTTTTTCTTTTTATCCTCCTTCATTGATCTTATTCTCCACTCAAATTTATTTAGCTGATCACATCCCACATCTTACCATTAGAATGACTGAATCAGAATTTCAAGCACCCTACTCCTATTTTTTCATTTGTTCTCCCTCCAATGATACCTTGGCCTCTTGAGACCTCCCAACTCTACTGACTTTTCAATCTCACAGCTGTCCCAAACCCTCATTTCTTTACTTCTCTACTTTCTAGCTTAGATTTCATGATTCATCATAATGAATTTCAGTAAAGATGTCTTGTGAGGGGATGGAATCCCGTGCACCAGTGAAGTGACTGGCTTTAAACTGGGGCCTGTAGAGTCCATTAGTTTTAGAGATAGTCGGGTAAGGGAGTTCAGTATATAAACATTATAGTTGCTTAGCAAAACTCCAGTCCTAGTTAAGGCCACACTTGATGTGAGAAGCTCAATGTTTCACTGGTCCCATTTTTTTAAGCATTTAAAAAATTTATTCTAATTTGTTATATAAGACAGCAGAATGCATTACAATTCATATTACACATATAGAGCATAATTTTTAATATCTCTGTTTATACACAAAGTAGAGTCATACCATTTGTGTCTTCATACATGCACTTAGGGTAATGATGCCTATCTCATTCCACCTGGATCTTTCCTACCCCCATAACCCTTCTTACCCTCCCACCCCTTTTCCCTATCTAGAGTTCATCTAATCTTCCCATGCTCCCTCTCCCTATCCCACTATGAATCAGCATCGTTTTATCAAAGAAAACATTTGGCATTTGGTTTTTTGGGATTGGATAACTTCACTTAGCATTATATTCTCCAACTCCATCCATTTACCTGAAAATGCCATGATTTTATTCTCTTTTAATGTTGAATAAACCAACATAATTATGGTTATCTTATATTAGACAAAAGCGCTAAAAACATACATTGGAGAAAAGATAGCCTCTTCAACAAATGGTGCTGAGAAAAATGGAAATTCATATGTAACAAAATGAAATTAAACCCTTATCCCTCACCATGCACAAAACTCAACTCAAAGTGGATCAAGGACCTAAGAATTAAACCAGAGACACTGCGCCTAAAAGAAGAAAAAGTAGGCCCAAATCTCCATCATGTTGGATTAGGCCTTGACTTCCTTAATAAGACTCATATAGCACAAGAATTAAAATCAAGAATCAACAAATGGGATGGATTCAAACTGAAAAGCTTCTTCTCAGCAAAAGCAACAATCAGTAGGGTGAATAAAGAGCCTACATCTTGGGAGCAAATTTTTAGTTTCCATGACTATGAAACTAAGATGGGTCCTTGGTGATTCCTGTCAATCCAGTTATATATCCCAGTCACTG